CGTTTATCCCAAACAAGTAATAATCACTTTCCTTCTCTTTTTTTTTAAAAAAAAAAAATTTCCTGATAATATATTACGCCATATTTAATTTTAAAATTTAATTTTAATTTAATTAATTTATTAATCTTTTTTTTTATTAAAAATTTTTTAATTAAATAAAAGTAGATAAAAAAATTCATCCAAATCTTCAATTATGAGCTTAAGGTTAAATTCACAGTCTATTAGTGCTACTACAATCAGTATCATCAATAATAATAATAGTGCTACTAGTAATAATAGTAGTAGACAGGTAGCTGAACAACCTCAACAAATCTCAAAATCACCAACAGGAGACCAATTCACCTTTACTTGGACAATAAAAAATTATCATGAAGTGGCAGATCTTTATCCAACTGGCAGATGGTTCTACAGTGATAGTTTCATCGAACCGGGTCTATCGACACAAAAAAAATCTCTATTGATAAATAATGATAAAAGTACTGATTATTTGTGGCGCATGTGCATGTATCCAAATGGTGTATCACATCCCGATAAAAATTATATAGGATTGTTTCTAAAAGCTATTCCTACTGATCATGAAAGAGAAAATAATTCATCTGGTAGGGAAAGAACTTATGCATTTGAAGTATATAGATTGGAAACATCATCATCAACATCAAAATCATCAATGTCAACGTCAACATCATCATCAGCAACAATTACAACATCAACATTGACGACTTTAAGTTCAACGACTCCAACTCCTGTACTACTCAAAAATGAAAAATTTTCAAAAACAAGGTTTGGTTTTGGGTCTGATCAAGTTTTTGGTAGAAGACAATTCTTAAAACTATCTGAAATTTATCCAGATCCAATAAATAAATTTGATTTAATAGTTAGAGTCAGGATAACGAACGAAGAAAGTATTGCGATGTTGTTGGCTTTACAAGAAATACCCTATGGTGAATTTCCTTTGGCTTCTCAAATACCAAAGTATTTTGATGACGAGAGATTTTGTGATGTTGAATTCTCTTTCTCATGTGGTCTGACCATCAAAGCACACAAAATAATTTTAGCTTCACAATCCAAATATTTTGAAAATATGTTAAATGGACAATGGATAGAAGGTCGTAATAAAGTTATTCCAATTAAAGAGATAGATTATGAAATTTTCAAATGTGTAATGTATTATTTGTATACTGGTAAATTGGAGGAGAATCTTCAATTGGAACAATTGAAAGAGGCTTACATGAAAGCTGACATGTTAGGATTAGAAAATTTGACAAAAATCATTGCAAACAGAATTGCTGAAGATGTAAATCATGATAACTGGGATGAAATATTGTTGTTAGGATGGAAGATGGGCGATACATGTCTTAAGAGTGCTAGTATGGGATTTGTCACAAATAGATGGGATGAATTAAAAAATACTGTGAATATGCAAAGAGTTATTGAAAGATAATTTAATAAAGATTATTAATAGAGATTTAGTTTTTTTTTGATTTCACATTATAAAAATTACGACCAGATTTGTAATGTAAATCAATGAAATAGAACCTTGAAAAAAATATAATCCAAGTAAACAGTCGGTGAAAGAAATACCTAAAGGAAATTATAACTTTGTGGAAAGATTTCAAGCAATTAATTATTTGATAAAAAGACAGAATTGAATCCAAATTTTTCACTTGGTAAAACGGTGACTGAGATTCGTCATCAGGGAATTTTTTAGAGACGTAAAATAGCATTGGGCAACTCCTGTTTTTTTTAACACCGAAAAAAATGATAATCAACAGGTCTTGTGGAAACAAATGATATGAAAATCCATGTTGTATAATGCATAGTAAGCATTGCATGATGCAATAACATATATCAACTTTATTAACATGAAAAATAATTTAATTTTGAACTATTTCTTTAAAACATGTATTATTAAGGTATTATATAATATTCTGCAAAAGTGAAAATCCTGATCAACAATTTCAGTATCAAGCTTTGGTAACAGATATCTGGATCAAAGATTATTCCCAAGATGACTTGAATTCATAGCACATTCAGAACAGTTTACTCATTTTTAGTAAATGTTGCTTTAATTATTTTTGCAACATAAATGTCCTATTGATCATTATGTGGATTAATAAACATGTATAATTGATCTTTTTTCCAGTTATTATTAAAAAGGTGGGAGATGAGAAAAACCAAGATTACTCCACAATGCTTGATTTGCATGGTGAATGTAGTATTCTCTCTCAATACAAAATAAAAAAATTGTTGCATCTCTAACTGCTGAATGTAATTTTTCATTTTTTTTAGCCTTAAAAGAATCCAATAATTGATTAGCACTATTCTTCCCAATAATCTTGCAATGAAGGTGTTCCTTCAGTTGATCATCAGTTAGCTGGCAGTAATCATTAAATGTATCATTAATTTTGACCTACCAATTATACATGTAATTATTTTTGTTATAAAAAATTATCCCAACTTCAAATATTTTGATATGTTATCATTTTCAAATAAAACTGTACCATCCTCAGATCTTTATTCAAATTATTTAACAGAGTTGCTTAAGAGCATAAAGACCTAGCTTTTAAAATTACAAAGTGAGTCTTAAAAGTTTTAACATCCTAGTCTACTCCAACTTTAATTTTACATCATAATAATGTCATGTGATACAAAATTTAATACTGACTGGTAAGAAAATATATATAAAGAGGTATGCCAATGCAAACAAAAAAGTTTATTTTGTTAAATTACTTTAAAAAGCTATTAATATTACATATAAATTGGTTATTAAAACAACAATAAAATGATTAATAATCTATATATTTCAATTATTTTAATTTTTATCAATTATTTGAAAAACTTCCAATTCA